CGTTTAACAGACGTAGGGAGGTGTATGCAGCGCACTACAGAGCATGGTTTGTGCCCACCGCTGTTCACCAGTAGGAAAGGTAGTATTGAATAGAGCCCCGTCAACGAAAGTTGTTGATTTGGATCCATTACTGTAAAAATATTTGTTTTCCAAGGGAGGTAGTATCGTTTCTTATGGGATAAGTTCATGCTTGACGGAAAAAATCCGTGGTCTGCGTAGAGTTGAATTAGGTGGTCTCCGTTGTCTATCCTATTGGTGGGGATCTCATGTAGGCTGCCTAGGTACCTTACTAATTCGTCCAGGGATTTCATTTGGCTATTGAAGTATCCAGTGGCTAANAAATTCATCCGTGATTTCAGGTGAACTGCAGTCGGTCGATGCATACACGACCACGACGAATAAGCACTGACGCTTCGTTCCGTAGGCGCGGACCCTTACTAAATCACCGAGACGTACAGTGCAGAGTCGGTTACTGACTAGAATCCAGTCAACAAACGAGCGCTCAACCTTGGCACCTAGCGCCATTTCAACACCAGCAAGACCGCGAGCGTCAGATGCCGGAATATGAGGAGTGAAACGTGAAGATGAGGTTGGGTGTAAGATGCATTATTGTGTGACTGAACTTACGTACACCGAACCGACCTGTACTCCGTTCAAAACCCACCAATTTATGTGCGTTCCTAACCACCTCCCAGTTTGGTGACCTGTGCCCGCCGGATCGGAACTTGCTACGTTGTCCCTCCATGACCATTTAGTTGGCACTTTTCCGAATCCTCCCAAAGATTACCTAATCACCCCACATGACAACTTTCGATTATTTATCGTGACCCGTTCTTCGTCCAACCTATTATCGTAATCCAATAATTTTCTCCACCCCACATGAAAACTGTCTCGTAGTAACTGTCGCCACTTTCTGCGCTCAGCCCATTAGTGTTATCTATTATCTCGACCCGGCATAGAAACTGCCTCATATTATTTGTGGCCACCTTTACAGCACCCACCCGCTATGCTTATCCTACCGTCTTCACTATTGTCACTTGTTCACTGTTGATTCTTTTCTTGGAATCTCCTGGTCTACACACTATCGCCGGCCTTGTGTGCTTAACCACCCAAGACACCCTCGTGTCCGTTGTCTATTCTCTCACTTGCACCGTGATTACGGTTGCCACCTGTCGCCCCACATCCGCCTTTGGTGTCATTTCGCTATCCCATCACTTTGAAATGATCCTCACCGCCCTTTAAATAGCACTGGCGCTATATCCACATGGCATTCCTCTTCTACGAATTCCAAGGGAGTGTCTTCCTCGCAAGATAGTCTTTGTCCTGTGGGACCGATTGTTTTGTCCAGACCGGGTTGCCACCAAATTTGAGGTATGTTGTTTTATTTCCATTAATTCATGATTGATTATGCAACAGTACACGTAGACTTCCCAGCCTTGTATTCTGCCGCGGATTCGGGGTTTGGTATCTGCCAGTCACTCTATCATCGGACGCCAATCCGGTACATTGGGGCTGAAGGACACAAGGTAATAATTGAAATAGGGTTTTGTATGCGTGTTTCGGAGAAACAACAAACGTCTAAGCTGAGAGTTTTCAGAGTTCCGGCTAAGGTAGCTTGTTGACCGATATGATAGTGTGCGGACATTGAGTGCAGTCGAGTGAAACCAAGATTTCGGTTTGGTCAATGCCAGAGCTTTTGATTGATTGACCTTACTGAGTAAATTCTGAGTGATGTCCCGTGAGTGACAGAAACTGGAGGCATCAAATAGAACTTAGAAGTGAAAGGTAGAACAGAGAGATAAGAACGAGGGCTTTCCAAATGGGTGCCTAAAACTTTAGGCCACAACATACTTCGCGGTAACCTACTCTAACGAAAGTTTTCCTTGAAGAACCCTAACCATAGTAGCAAATGGTCGCAACTGACGAATAGGAGTGAAGGACCACAAACAGCCAATCAAAAACTTCGAACATAACTATATAAGCTCGGTTACAGTGAGGACTGGTGCTTCCCTGAAGTTGCACTGATGTTGCTCAGCTAGGCTACGAAACGTCTGCGAACAACACTTCCAACTCGGAGAACACACGAACACCAACAGACATTGACCTTTTTTCACGTCAATTCTGCGATCACCTGAGCTATCACTCATTAATCTCTCGGGTTCACATTTGCCCAGGTAAAACAAAAAATACTCGTATCACTGAGATAAATAAAATAAAATCACGAGCAGAATAATGCTGAATTGATTAGCAAAGAACGCATGGAAAAACGTTTAAACGATGAGATGGGATCGACAGGTTCGTAAATAACGATGGTTGTCTCTGTAGTTTGAATTGATTAGCTAGATGTTCAGAACTTTGCCGAACTTTACAACCAAGCAGCAAACGTTTTTTTGCTAGCCTAGGTGGCGATTAAATCTGTGTTGAGTTGAAACCATGCGACCGCCACTCCACCATGGTTGTGGTAATTACCTAACTTGCGGCTCAATACCACAGTTTCAGTTTCAGTTTTTACAACCATTAACCATGCACTTTCGTGCGCCGGTTTTGGTTGCTGTTTTTTGGCCGCCCATTAGGATAAAAGACAAGGATTAAGATTGGAATGTTGAGAGCAAATTAAAGGGAGAGATAGGGGAGAATTCATATAGACTGAGACTGCAAGAATAATGAGGAAATGCATAAGTGGCACTGTTTGAGACACCCAGTTATATCGCTCGGTGTCTCTAGCCACCTGTGATCCCCATCCAGGGAGCTCAATACCAGGTCTATCCTAGTGAGGCATTACGTAGCTATCCAATGGAAGTATCAAGTCTTATGTCGCCAGCTCTCATTACCGAAACCTAGGTCGACAAGATTACTGAGTTCATTCCTTCTAATAAGCAACACAAAATCGAATCACCAAGTTCAACGAGCACATGAAACCAGAACGGAAAACACAGACCGTGACTCACTTCCCATTCTTCTATCGCGGTACCTTCAAAAGTTGCCGTGTACTCGACCCCATCGTGCCAAAGCACTTTCACAGTCGAGCCGATGCGTGGCGCTCCATGATGAACCCAATCAACATTCTGTGGGACCAGAGATAGAGTGCGCAGAGGAACAGCGAAAACTAGGATGAGAAGGGGACTACCCTTAAAGTCACTCGCACGATTGCAACAACCCAACAATTATAACTGATTCAGACCAGCGCACATTGAATCACAGCAATTGCTAATAAATCAAGAAATGCTATTACTCAACCAAGCATGATCCCACTGTACTGTAATGACTTTTGCGGGCATCTAGGCCTAAATATCAGTCAAAAATATGTTCAACGTTACAATGGGATGGAAATGATGAACATAACGTAAAACGAATAATCCATGTCGATTTACAATGAGTTTGTGTAAGTCCTTCCTCTTATCAGATAGAATGCCAACCAAATAGGTTACTGCTCAACTACTATCAGTGTGCATAAGGGATACTAAGCAGCAAAAATTGAACCTGGTTGTGGCATGGGAACACCAGGTGAGTGGGTCAGGATTGAGTCTATGGCTGGGGTAGTAAAGACATTCATACGTAAAATTCTCATATGGGATATATAAAGATCAGTTTTGTGACTAAAATGTATACGGGAATAACAAAACATGACTAATGGTTGCCCAGCAGCGCCGAAGAGTGGTCAAATCCTTTTTAAGTAGACCAGGGAAAATCGTAGAACAGTAAAATATGACAGGAACACTGTATCGATAGGTAAAGGAACAAGCGGTTGAACGCTTCATTCTAAATTGTTTCAGCTTGCGTATCTGGAAGGACAACCGATCTTGCTTACCAACAAGGGTTTGCACATGAAAGAACTACGAAGGCTTGCAACGGTTTTTGATGGTGTAGGTTCCAGTTATAATTACTGAACTGATGATCGAGGGTTCCAATAGACACTCACATCGCAAAAGATTAAAAATGTATTCGAAGCATTTGGGAAGGTCTCAATGAATGCCGGGTCGATCCGAAAATGTTTGAACCGTCAAAAAATACCATATATCATATTAAATCATATCATAAAAATATCTTATTCGACCGATTTCAGATACTTGGTCGTAGAATCCCATTATTAATGCATTCAAAGATCTTGACCAGGGGATAAAGGGTGAATAGCTGCCTACAATAAATAAAAAGAAGGTACAATCGCCTGAACGACTAATGGTATTGAAACAGCTCCGTTTGTCCCTGTCAGGACTCGGAACAGCGAACATGCCGGTCGGGGCTTCAAACCCTTAACCCTGATATATATATATATATATATATATATATATATATAACACCAATATTTACAGATACGGTGCCAAATAACCATGGGTGAGCGAAAAAAATATAGGTACAGAAGCGGGGAATGCAAAACAGTCGACATCGAGGAGTAACAATTTTTTTGTTTACTGCATGCCATTTTGAGCTTTGTTCGTTTTTGTTTATTTTTGGGATTGCAGACAAGAGAGAATGCATTCGCGCCACTGACTTCGGTTCGATGCCATATCCTGCAGTGTTTGCAGCCAAAGAGAATCTGAATCTTTGGGGACCCAGCCGGGAAGCCGAGAAACCCCAACGGAAGCCAGATTCGAGCACAATTTCTTTAACCCTCTGCGACACGTCATAGCCTGCCCACCTTGCTGTTTCTTCCAGCCTGGACCGATGTCTGCGAATAGTGCACGGTGTGGCATTCGTAGGACGTGCCCTAGTCACCTAAGACGATGCTGTGAAATTATTTTGCTCAAAGGAAGACTATCTGGTCTTAGCATCCGTCGTCTGACTTCATCGTTATTCACGCGATACTTCCACCATATGCGGGCGATGTTGTGCAGACAATGGTTGTCGAAGACTGATAGTCGCTGGATGTGATGTGCTCGGAGAGGCCAGGTCTCGCAGCTATAGAGCAACACGGTGCGTACCGTCGCGCAATACACACGCCCTTCCAGTGAAGGGGATATATCGCGCCGGCGCCAGAGATGCCGCAGATTAGTAAACGCTAATCTAGCTTTGATCAAGCGTTGAGAGATCTCCTCACCAACACCTCCGCCAGCCGTTATGTAACTCCCAAGGTAGACAAAGCTTTCGACTACTTCCAGAATGTTATTACCCAACGAAAGTGCAGGAGTGGGTTCCTGCCAATCTTGCAACAACACTTTGCACTTTGAAGGTGCAAATGACATACCATAGCGAGTAACCTCAATTGCCAAACGGTTCAACAACTCTTGAATCGTTGGTGTGTTGTCACCCAGTAAGGCAATATCATCAGCATACTCTAAGTCTATGACTCTGTCCCCAGGAAGAAGCTCGACACCAGCGTTCGTTACGTTATGTAATGCGTTTTGTAGGACATCATCTATGGCAAAATTAAAGAGAAGCGGAGAGATAGGTCAACCTTGTCACACCCCACTGGTGACAGGAAATGAGGGTGAACATTCACTATAGGCCCTAACCTTCCCCAAGGTCTGATGATAGAGCGCTTTTAGGAGTAAGACATACTTCTCGGGTACTCCGTATCTCCGCAAACAGTTCCATAATGCGGGACGATCGATTGAGTCGAAAGCCGCTCTGATGTCTAAAAGCACGAAATGATTTGTCTTCTGTATGCGTGACGATGTTCTAGAAGCTGACGGAGGGTGAAGATTTGATTTATGTATCCACAGCGTGCACGAAACGCGGCCTGCTCCTCGCGGATTTGCTTCTCACGGAATGGGCATAACCTGCGTAATTCAACGGACGCCAACAGCTTCGGCGCTATTGGAATCAGACTTATGCCCCTGTGGTTGGAACAGGCGTTGCGACAGCCCTTCTTGTAGATGAGTGTGACAATCGATTCTCCCCATGTGTGGGATACACTTTCAGTTTCCCAGACCTTCGAGAACAGNTCTCCACCATCTTTAAAAAGGGCAGGTGGCAGGCCGTCAGATCCAGCTGCATTGTGGTGTTTCAGGGCTTGGAGTTCCTTTCGGAACTGCGATGTGAAGTGCTCCGCCCAGCGTTTCAATCGTCGGTGAAGGCTGTTTATTAACGTGCCGTCTACTTCGCAGATTTTTTCACTAACGCAGTCTCTTGGGGCCTGTAGCACGGATGAGCTGGAATAGTTGCCGGGTTTCCACACGTAGCCGCTGATTCCATCTCTTTTGCACGTAGCGTCCACCAGGCTTCTCTGTCGTCTCTCAAACTCTTTG